AAAATGTGGTATTTAACACAGCACAGAAAAAATATGTGGTAAATATAAGTGTACAATATAAGCATGGTCAGTGAATACTATTTGAAAGTTACTCGAAAGATTTTAGTTCTCTTTCTTCGTACAGTAATAATATACGTGATCGCTTCGAACACAAAGCCGGACGATCGTGATCATAATCAAATGAGTTTCTTACGCTGACTATTATCGAAAAGGAAACTAGTTTTGAAGTAATTCTCGCGGAAGTTCGAATTCAAAGAATGTTCAAATATGCCTATCTCAGTAGAAGATTAAGGAGGAAGTAGCACGTGGTGTCGACGAACGAAGATTTGGGTATGAGTTTAGAAAGTATTGATAGGTACACCCACAACGTGTGACCTCGGTTTGGTTCATTTTTCTTTTCACATAAACATGATACACGTCGAATTGAATTTCACACATATATGAATAGCATCGTTTTTAGATATGAATACTTTACTATCTTCTGTATCTATAGTGACCGACATAACCACTGATCAACTTAAAACTGCATTCATTTATACAACCATGAAACAGTCTTTTGATACACAATTTATGCCAAAAAAGAGTTTGAACAGTCGTTTAATGTCGAGTATTGCAAACAAACTTACAAAATCACAAGTTTTGACAAACCCAATACAAAAGAAGCAAAATGTATACTCAAACATAGAAATGCAAGCAGCTGGATTTTCTTACACAGGCTTAGAAGACACCGCTCGTTGCCAAGCTTGCGGACTAGAAGTGTCCGAATGGACAGCGGATATGAAGCCATTTACTATTCATAAGCAACGAAGTCCAGCATGTGCTTATGTTCGGTCGATGATGCCTGACAAGCCGATCATAACTCCAGTGACGATCATGTCAACAACAGACGGTGACTACAATCCAGCAAAACGACAAAAGAAAGATCTTACCGACGAAATTTGTGAGAGTACTGTGCTGACAGAAATAACTCTGTTATCAGAGGCACGGCGAAGATCGTTTTCTCACTGGCCTTCACACATGTGTCCTTCGAGTGCACAAATGGTTGAAGCGGGCTTCTTTTGTTGTAATGTTGGTGATCGAGTGATATGCTTGTATTGCAATCTGATCTGTCAACAGTGGACTCCTCAAACGGATGACCCAAGTGAGATTCATAAAAAACTCTCACCAAAGTGTCCGTATGTGATCTCAAAGGCAAAACGTCGACAGGGTCGAACGATTTTTATACTGAACGATGCGAATATCAGAGAAGGTATGGGTGACGTGACTGTCAATGATCCATTTCGATGTAATGAAATGGTATACACTGCTGCATGTCATACTGCTTATATAGAAATTCCACGTCGACAGGCATCGTTTGAGACATGGCCAAACGAAAATCTTCCGCCCGTCGATGAATTAGTACGAGCAGGCTTCTTCTATACAGGCTCTAAGACAGTCGTCACTTGTTTTTACTGCAATGGATCATTACAAAACTGGGGTCCGAACGATAATCCAACGATTGAACATGCGCGTTGGTTTCCAAATTGTGCCTATGCTAAGCAGCTTTGTGGCGTTGAGTTGTACAAAAAGATTCAAGAATCGAAAAAAGCTCAACAAGGTTTGATCTCGCTTGACACATAAGAGTAGTGGATTGTGTATTCTGTAATTTAGAGAGAGCAAAAGCAAACGATACTACTAAACAAGACAGAAATGCGAACAGTACTGTGGGCAGAGGACAATTGATTATACCTGATGAAAGTGCTTTATCACGATTCGTGGCCGCTCGACTTGATCTGCCTATCTCTCAAAGGCTACTCATTCGGGAGTTCAAACTATCATTAATTAAACGTTGTTGGGAGGATCAGCTAAAATTGAAACGTAATATAAACTTTCATACATAGATCTTTCGGAAAATTATTACACAAAATTCTTTTTACGTTTTGTGTTGCAGATGATGACTACCTTGATCAAATCGACCTATTCATCTGTTGTATTATTCTTCAACGACAGATCGATTGTATTGGTGGAAAGAAAGAGAACATTATCGTGCCGAGTGTAACCATGAAGAAATTTCGTGAACAAGAGCAAGCTGGTATGCAAACTGAAAAACACTAGATAAGTCTATTGCTATACTTATGTCATTATAGATGCTGCTGCACGCGAACAATCGGCTGCTACGAATACAGAAACGAATGTTTCTAATACCACAGATATTGAAATGACGACGTCATCTGCAAGTAGCACTACTAGTGATCAAAACATGGAACAATCAGTTGACAGTGCGCAAAATGGAAAAGATAAAAATAGATCAGTTGCAAGAAAATCGGACGATAGTCAAACAGAAATTCCTACGGCGAATCTGTGTGTTCTTTGTTTGGAAGAGGAAAGACGTCTTGCCTGTATCCCATGCGGTCATCTTGCTACCTGTGTCCCGTGTGGTCATTCTCTTCGATCGTGTCCAATATGCCGTACGAATATTGATGCTTTTATGCGGATATATGTGTGAAGAAATGTTTCTCACATTTATTTCCCTCAATTGACCGACTTGTTTTTACTATTTTTTAAGCACTTTCGAAGATACAATCTTCGATGTTGCTAATCATCATCCCAATTCTACAAAGTAGTGCGAAAGATTCTGGATTGAACGTCTCTCAGTCTGTCATTGTTGAATATAGTGAGAAAATTCCCGTAGACGACAGATCAAGAAAAAAGTATGAGTCAGGTGTTAAGTTTGTATGAGCAACCGGGAGCGTTCTCATAGGAGTATCATTAAGAGGGAGAGTACTTACTCATCATATGTTTTGTGAAGTTCGATGTAATTAGTGCTTCGAATTTTCGGCTTCTCGTCTTTCAAATTATAGGCATCCTCGATATAGACTTCATCCTGACGAATAGTCTCGTCAACATGTATTAATACAAAAAGTGTGTTTTCACAAGATTCAGCTAAGGTTTCGATATGTATACGTATCGCTGTATATACGTATTTCACAAACGACAGACATGTAGTCAGTCGCTTATCGAGTACTAAGCATATAAAAACGCTTTAAGCTATCATTCAAACCATTTTTAGAGCTCAGCTGACTTTTTATTTTTATGACTTTTCCAAATACATTCAGAATATTCGAGAACTGTTTGAGCACATCGTGGAAAAGTAAAAGAAAAACAGAGAGCTACTAAATGACATTTGTCCACATATACGGAGAAATGAAGACGAGAGCTGAGAGAAGCGAATCTAATATAATTCGCAGCGCTAATCTTACCAATCAGCTAAGCAGTTTTTTTGTATAGAAACTATATTGAAAATCAAATTTTTTACAGAAAAATACTTGATGAGCTCCACGTTCACTTCGGTTAGCAAACAGAGAAGTTCAATGGATAATAGTTGCAAGATGGTATAGCAAAGTCTATTGTCTTTTCTAAGCAGGATACGGTTCTACTCGTTTTATTTTCGATCTCAATTTATACTAAAGTAACATTCTATCCAGAAACTTTCGCACCACTCATTTGTTTTTTAATCATGATTTCTTTTGTTTTACATATCTCTACGCTACCATCGCCAGTCATAGCGATTAAGCAATGGTTTGTTGTCAATATGTTTAGTACTTCAAAGCACTATCGGTTTTTGTTAGTTCTTTTGCATATTGAAATAAACTGCTTAAATATTATGAGCAAACTTTTCGAACCTTCATCGGTTTCCTATCGAAATCCATACTACATCGTGAAATGAAAAGTATCAAACATATCACGCACATCGGAATATTCTTTAACAAAGTATAGCATAGTGAGTTGCATACATTATTAAACTTCTTCTTTATATAACTAGCAACAGTTGGTGTAAGATAACGCGCACATTTGTCAGGTAAAAAACCTTCATATTCTTTTTGCATTATATATATGAGGGAAAAAACGACCGACAATGGTCAAAACAAAATGTCAAACCATAAACACTGTATGCATGAGCCAACACAAGGGATATAACATTGCGATCCGAATCGTCGATGGATAGTGATCGCGACAGACGACTTCGGATCTCAGTCGTTCAAGTTCGTTCACGATGTTCATTAGAATCGAGATATCGCTCAAGGTATCGATTTATGCTCTTGAAATATAATGACTAGCAGTAGAGAAAGATACTGCTCGATTATAGTATCAGAACATCATTGTTAGCAATGCATTCATAGCTACTCTATATGAGTTTCGCTTAGTAAAACATTTTTAGCGTAAAACACGAGTATAAGCGTCGAGCCTTGTCAGTTCATGACTACTTCTTTCGAATAATATGTACAATAGTGAGTTGTAAAAAAATTGATGCGACACCTTCTCCAGTTACTAATAATGAATGACCAATTTCCTGCTCTTTTCTTCATTTGAAAACCATCAAGAGAAATTAGAATATCATTTACAGTTTCGACACAAAGAAATAGCCCTGTCCATTAATTAAATTGCTTGAGGGCACACTGTTTCGTTACTAATAGATTGTGAAACATTTCTATTGCTATATTCGCACGCATGTCTTAAAATCGACCACATTGAATATTGACAATTTCAAAATTGTTTTCATCGTGCTGTAAAGAAAAGGAAAAAGCAAAATCAACGGTGTTTTTTTCTTCCATTATTTCACGTTTCTACAACAATCATATGTATAAACCAATACACGTCAAGATATTAGTCAATAGAATTTTCCTCCTTATCATTTTTTTGGAATATACCTATTTGTATAGGAGCATTTATAAAGAACTTGCCACACTCAGTGTTTGCGATAGTACACAGCTGTTTCTAGTGTATTCTGCATTTCAGCTGATGTATCTCCACATTCCGTACAAACTATCATTTCTAGAAATTGTCTGTTTTTACTTAAGTATTCTTCGATTGTTCTAAACACATATTTTTAGTTTCTTCGTGTCTTAGTGAAGATTCTATCTCATCATAGCTGCTATTTACATTGTAGAATTCAATTTCCTCCTTGCTGTTGCTAATCAATGATGCAAACAAAACATATCTGTCAACATGGATCTTCACATATGTCAAGATTAAGTGCAAATGTCTGCTCCAAATCACTTCTCAATAATAAAAAGTGTAAACTTATGCGTGATCTATGTCTTCAGCTGAACAAAAAACAAGGTGTACATTCAAACATTGCAATGCGAGCAGCAGGCTTTTCCTATACTGGCGATGCAGATACTGCTCGCTGTGATACATGTGCACTGGAAGTATCCAACTGGACACTAAATATGAAACCGTTCACCATTCATGCACAACGAAGTCCGAAATGCGAATTTGTTCGTTCTAGGCAACCGTCCGACATAACAACTTTATCACCCATACACGCTACAATACAATGCACATCATCTTCACCATCACATGATGAAGATAGGCCATCCAAACGACAAAAGATAGATCCTCCACTGGCGTCTATGTGTTCAAATACGTGGGTGGAAACGGAAACTTTGAAAGAAATTCGTCGACGAACGTTCTCACACTGGCCTAAGCGATCATCACCATCGGTCGAACATATGATTGAAGCAGGTTTCTTCAGCTGTAACATCGGTGATCGTGTGATATGCATATACTGTAACATAATCTGCCAACAATGGATGCAATACACGGACGATCCTCGGGAAGTGCATAGAATCCTATCACCACAATGTCCATATGTCACTGGAATACTAACACAAGCATCTACATCATCAATTCCTATTTTAAATGATAAATCTAATGAAAAAGCCGCTCTTGATATTGATAATATCACCCAATTTGGCCATATAGTAACTGCGAATGCATGTCATGCTTCTTACAAAGAAGTACATAAACGATATGCGTCATTCGAGCAATGGTCCAGTTCGAGTACGCCGTCAGTTGACGATCTAGTCAATGCTGGATTTTTCTATAGTGGAACGGGATCACAAGTGACATGTTTCTATTGTAACGGATCTTTACAAAATTGGGGGTCAACTGATAATCCAAAGGTAGAACATGCGCGGTGGTTTCCACATTGTGCTTATGTCAGGCAGTTATGCGGAACAAAACTTTATAGAGATATTCGAAGAGCGCAGCAAGATTACAAAGGTACACGGAATTGTTTCAGTAAAATATTGGTTAACGAACGAATTATTCGTTCAAATTTTAGAACATGCTGAAGCGAATAAATTAAATGGCAGTAATCAGATGACAACAGTCGCTGCAGATAAGAAAAAATCGAATACCATCGATGAAGTCACATTGGCCCGGTTCGTAGCTGCTCGACTCGATTTACCATGTTCACAAAGATTACTTGATCAAAACTTCAAATTGTCCATTATCAAGCGTTGTTGGGAGGATCAACTTCGTTTGAAAAGTAAGCTATAGGAGATACTGACACTGAATGAAACGTAACTCATTCTAATCTTTATTCTCAACTCTTTAGACAATGATTTCGACAGTGAGATCGATCTATTCATTGCTTGCACAATACTTCAAAAACAAATTCAATACATTGATGGCCAAAAAGATAAGATTCTTGTACCGAGCGTTGCATTAAGAAAAGTAGACGAACGAGGACAAACAGGTAATGACAATTCTTTTATACACAGAACTCAATACTGATAGAAATGTTACTTTTAGAAAATCTTCAAACTAAACAGACGACAGCTGAATTAGCAGTGGAAAAGGCATCGAATTCTATTAGTGCTGAAATGACTGCATCTTTTGACAAGAAATCAGAATTTGCTGACAGGAACTCAAGCAAACTGGACGAGATTAAGTCAGATAGTACTACGAAAAACGTCGTTCCGAAAAAATCTGATCCTTGTGTTTTATGCTTGACTGAAGAGAAATGTCTGGCTTTCATGCCTTGTGGACATGTAGCCACGTGTGTACCATGTGGGCATTCTCTTAGATCGTGCCCCATGTGCCGCACAGAAACAAAAGCTTTTCTACGTGTATATTTGTGATATTTTCTTATTTATTTTTTGAAAAGAATGTAACGAGCTGTTGCCGTTAAAACAACAGTTCCACTCACGCAAATATGAAAAGTCACTCGGAATAATCTGAAGGAAAATTGTTTGTCAGTATAGATTTCATTTCAACCAAGAGCTTTTCAGCAAATATTCAGTCGGCATGAAGCTGTTATGCAACACAACAAAGACATCTATTGATCTTTAAAATAATTTTTACCTTTATGAAATATATTTCCTATTTGATACTTGTTTTCCAATGGTTATTTACCTGTAGCCAATTGGAGAACAGAGAACAAGCTTGGAAAAATCCAAGTAAGATACTTTAAAATATTTCTTTTTCTCTCATTCGTCCTGTATATATAACCAGTCAAAATTTAAGTTGCACCACGTCCAATCTGTTTCTACTTTTTTCACATGTATACCTACATTCAAATTGTGTAGTTGAATTATTGTTGGTATAAAAACCAACCACTATGGTAGCAGTGCTCTTTTATACCATAAACTGATGCATTCCTTCGATACTGTTTACTTTACATGAAATGTTGCGGATATTCAACATTTGTTTCTTAGCATGTCTAGGTTTCAGATTTTCAGATTAGTCAGTCTTTCCTAAGATCGATTTCGGGATCTATTTCACGCAGCATACGAATAAGTTGCGTAAAATTTTCGTTAAATATTCGCCGATTATGATTGCCCATATTTTCATTGGAAATGGCTCCATTGAAATCATTGGCACATCTGATCTTAAGGTGATGTTTTTTTTAAATTTCTGTTATGGCCCAGAAGGTAATCTGGAGTGAATCTACAATTCATCTCTCGGCATCCGTATGATCATAATCGATTTATCTTTTATTTAGATACTTTTCGACACATATGGACCATCGTTCAAAGAGAGTCAAGGCCATGAACTATAAACCATTTATGGTCAGACTTCGTCAATTTTTGTCCCCGAAACAAGGTGTACATTCAAACATTGCAATGCGAGCAGCAGGCTTTTCCTATACTGGCAATGCAGATACTGCTCGCTGTGATACATGTGCACTGGAAGTATCCAACTGGACACTAAATATGAAACCGTTCACCATTCATGCACAACGAAGTCCGAAATGCGAATTTGTTCGTTCTAGGCAACCGTCCGACATAACAACTTTATCACCCATACACGCTACAATACAATGCACATCATCTTCACCATCACATGATGAAGATAGGCCATCCAAACGACAAAAGATAGATCCTCCACTGGCGTCTATGTGTTCAAATACGTGGGTGGAAACGGAAACTTTGAAAGAAATTCGTCGACGAACGTTCTCACACTGGCCTAAGCGATCATCACCATCGGTCGAACATATGATTGAAGCAGGTTTCTTCAGCTGTAACATCGGTGATCGTGTGATATGCATATACTGCAACATAATCTGCCAACAATGGATGCAATACACGGACGATCCTCGGGAAGTGCATAGAATCCTATCACCACAATGTCCATTTGTTCGTTTCATCTCAAGTCACCATCTACCATCGTTGTCAAACAACGACGATCCATGTGAACCAAAGTCTGGAATGCTTGAAGGTGCCTCTCACCGAGCTTATGCTCATCCTAAAGACCGCCATGCTTCTTTCAAAGAATGGTCAACAGAACGTCTTCCGTCAGTTGACGATCTAGTCAATGCTGGATTTTTCTATAGTGGAATGGGATCACTAGTGACATGTTTCTATTGTAATGGATCTTTGCAAAATTGGGGGCCAGCTGATAATCCAAAGGTAGAACATGCGCGGTGGTTTCCACATTGTGCTTATGCTAAACATGTTTGTGGTAAAGAATTCTACCAAAAGGTGCAGGATGCGGTTCGGCGAAACGAAAGTATTATGAATTAGACAGATAATTATGTTTTATTCGTATTGTTTTCATTCAGAGAGCAAAGCACGTTCAAAATTTGGTGTACAAGAAACAACTACGGCTACTGCTCCAGTTAATACATCTTCAGAAACACTCGACAGTGGTGTATTAGAAAGATTAGTAGCTGCTCGGCTCGATTTACCATATTCACGAAGATTACTTGATCAAAACTTCAGATTGTCTATTATCAAACGTTGTTGGGAAGATCAACTCTTGTTCAAAGGTAAGGAATGAAGGGTGTCTTGACATTATTATGACTAATTTTCCCTTATCATATCGCCACAGGTGATGATTTTCATACTGAAACTGATTTATTTGTGGCCTGTATGATTCTTCAGAAACAAATCGAAATTATTGCTGGTAAAGCAGAAAATATCATTGTACCTAGTGAACGTTTAAAAAAACTGTCAGCGAATTCCGAGCTAGGTATACTTTTGAATAACTCTTAGGATCATATTTGTCGATTGAAGCAACAATTTTTCGTTTAGGAACTGTGCAGCCTTTGCTACTTTGCAGTTTATGTGCAACAAACGAAAAACAGCTGGCATGCGTTCCTTGTGGCCATTTTTCTGTCTGTGTGCCATGTGGACATAACTTACGATCGTGTCTAATATGTCATAACGACATAATGGGTTTTGTACGCATATATTTGTAAATTCACTCGGCTGATTTTTAAATAGTTTATAGTTTTACGTACAAATAAATTCTGTCTATTATTAATATATTTTCTGTCAAAGAGAAACAGCACTTAATGGCTTCCGATACTTAAAATACAGGAAGATGATCTTGCTAAAAAGCATACGCGTATGAGATTCATAATCAAATTGTGTTAAGAAACGTGTGCACTATTGATTTTGATCTGATCACTTGGAAAATAAAACTTGAATACCGATGTATTTTCCTTGGAGAAAAGAAGCACTTCTTTCATGCATCGTCGACTACGTAGAAGCCACAAATGAATCCCAATACGTCCGACATCTTTTTACGCAATGAATTGAATTAATTCTCAACGATGATTCGAATATTCTTCTTCTCCTTAATTTAATCGAACTTCCAATATAACTCTCTTGTCAAGATATCCTTGCTTCAATTAGAACATCTCAAGAGCATTACTCTTCTAATCTCGTTATCTCGATTTATTCGATTACATTTAGGAATTACACGCACTCTTTCTATTAATCCATTGATTTCAATACTCAAGAGTTCCAAGAAATCATTCGCTTCTATTCTCACTGATCAAACGCGTGTATCATTTCGTATATTTCTAAAATTTGACCAAGAAAACGAAAAAAATACACTGTATGTATATGCACATACGTTTACAGTACAAAAAAACCTGTTAGTAAAAGAACGCACAGAAAATAGAACAAAGAAATCGCACGGAAACAAAAAAAAATGTTCAGATTCGTAGCACCTGGTCACAAATGTATATAGAGAAAAAAAAAGAGAGTTAAATCATCGTTAAATTATTCGTAGACATTGTAGTATTTATTGATGCTGTTGGATCATGTATCGGTAAATTACTTGTGAATGCACCAGTTTTGGGGAACATAACAACGAGAGAAATAACAAACCAAATACAGTAGATAAAGAAAAATGTACGATCAATGACAAGTGCGACGCTCTTCCAATCGTCGGCATTTTTGATCGATTGATCTGTACTTTCAATTTTCTTTTTCATATGTCGGAGATAATCTCGGACTTCTTTGAGATCGTTCTCGATTGAACGTAAGTTTAAATTCAGCGCCGCCATGGTTTCACTTGTACTCGAATTTTCATTGATTAAACCTTGCTTTTGTTGCTGATGGTATTCATGGAAGCGTTGTTTGAGTAATCTGAGTTTCTTCGAAAATTCTTCTTCGTGATAGTGCGGGGTAAGAAAGATTTGTTCCGGTAGAACAAGAGCACCAGGGGAAGGTGGACCGTGACGAGATGACACATTCGCCGATACTGCTGGCGGTGTCTTAGGAACCATACAATACAAGCGTCCGAGAAAGTGAAGAAATATGCGACGCACCGTTGGGGAAATTCCTTGACGACGATCACCCCGAACGTAGATATGGATGACGACAGTGGCAAGAACGCCTGTTACACACACAACAACCATGTTAACGCAATAATAATAACCAATTTTCGGCGTGCCACCTCCACCTAACATAACAAAAAGAAATTCGGTTAAATTTTCTCGCAAAAGATCCATAGAACGGCTTCGACTGTTGAAATAATCATCCTACGCGATGTCAAACAATAATCGAATCATATGCATCCTCAAATAAGAATAAGATTAAATGCAGATGCAGGAAGAAACGAAGAGGAAATGTGCTTTGTTTATCAAGTTTTTCATGAAGTATTAGATCAGATGGACAGTCTACGCGGAATTATTGATCAATACGGGAAACAAAAAGAAGCTAGACTTCAGTCAAGCCTGCCCAATGTTGTAGATTAAGGAGTTCGAGTGCCTGAAAATATCATGTCAAGAAATAGGAGACCTATGTATATTCTATAGTAATGAAATGAAGGAGATTATGCCACATTGAATTCATCGCGAATAGATCCGAAAGAATATTTTCCTCGTTTGAAATTTAACACTAATTGATGCATAACTAAGTGTAAAAGAACGATTTGAGTCCATTCCGACAAGATCTTAATCTTTCTATTTAAGGTTTCTTTAACCTACGCTTCTCGATGCTAAGAATTTCTCACGCAATGTCGACATTCATTAAAAAGATAATTACGCTGATCTATCATATATCAAGTGGAAAAAACAGAGAGAAAGAAAAGTACGTTTTCGTTCATACTTGGCATAGATTCAGCCAGCAGAAGTAATAGAAGAAAAAGGCCGGAGAAGATCGAGACAGTTAAGATCATTTTCGCTGGCGATTCGGGTGGAATCCAAAAGACAACCATCGTTGCTGCAGATAAAAGTAAACAAGGTAAAATTAAAATATAACCATAGAGGCCACCCTTGCGTTCGATGATTAACGTATACTTTAATAAGGAGAACGTTCCATTAGCTAACGACTTTTCTGCTTCGAGTTGATCGATTTTCCATTCGTTCGAAACTATGTATGAAGTCATATCCATACTTTTCTTATTATCTTTGAATTCCAGTTCCACTTTCGTATTATCGTATGTCCACGAACGGTACTCCAATGAACATTGATGGATATCGAAAGGAAAATTAGTTATATCGAGGAAACAGATACTGAATTGCATGATGGCAGGAACATATAAAACATCACCTGTACTTTGTATGACGGCCGAGATTTCACGCCAATCTTTCAGACGTTCATCAGCGTAATTATAGAGAACGACATCCTAACAATAATACAAAAGAAACACATATGTCAAAATATAAACATCGTCGTCTTCCGCCCTACTGGTGTCCAGATTGAATCAGCTGGCAGACATACAGTAGCTAATCCACCGTAATCTTTCGGGTCCCAGACGAGATTCATGTCTTGCCAGGTGAATGTTTTCCATGTATTTGTTTGCATTTTTTGACCGGTCGAACCCAAATCAAATAACTGTGTGAATGTTAAACCAAATGTGATTACTAATGGTTGAGATACATTGCGGATTGGACGTGCATATATCGTTGGATAATTATCAAGTAAATCGCGAATGAGACGTTTCTCGAATGTTAAACGTTTAGTCTTTCGCTGAGTAGACGAATTCGTCGAGGATGTTGATGATGAATGGGACTGATGATGTTTTGCTTGTTGATGATTTTCGTCATTGACTTTATTAACACTGTAGAAATCTAGTTTAACAAATGAACAGATAAAAGGTTCGATATCGACACATTTCTTATCATAGTAGAAGATCTGTTGACAGGTGTTAAATAGCGAAAAAGACGTCAAGAACATCCAACCGAGAACAACTTTATTTCGAGTATCTTCTCTCTCTCTTCTCGAACTATATTAATCGTGTTTACGTTCATGAATATTCTATTGCATATATCCTGGTATTCATATCAAATTTCTCTAATCCCAACAGTAATAGATACACTCAGTTCCAGTTTTTCCCTTCAATAATTAGCAATTCGTTAATCTGATCAATTGATGAGCGAAACAAAACACGAGACTTTTTGTTCTCCATTGTTGAGAATTATAAATAAAAGATATGTATTTCTTCTAAACAAAACTAATCATGAAAAATAAATGTATTGTTAGAAAGAAAAAGAGCTCATGTATTTTTAATGAGTTGCAGCCGATTGTTTATGTACGACTGTGTTATTTTTTGTTGCACCGTTTCTCGTGCGTTCCGTTCCGTAGGAGCAAACTGACTTACTCGAAGGATAAATATTGAAACAAATCTTTGGTTTTTACCTTGAGACGATTGATCTTTTTGTTGTTGAACTTGTGATGATTGTGAGAGAACAATCGTAATGTTGAGCATAACGAAAAACAACGTTATGCCGATCAAACGTAAAACTGTCGTTAAGTAACACGATCTTACATGATGATATTTTACATGATTGCTTAGATATTGTTCATCGTCATAAATAATTAATTTTTCATGTGCTAAGTAGCGACAATAGTAACACATAGTATTCTTGCGACCGTTTTGTTAAATGTGGTTGTTTTTGTCGCTGTTCATCCTAGGGATTTATCTAGAGAGAGAGAGAGAGAGAGAACGTAGATGAAGAAGAAAAAAAGAAGCAGAAGAAAGAAATGAAGAAGGAAAAGCTGATGTACACAAATCTTATCATAGAGCCATTATAAGTAAATGTAATTACCAAAAGAAAATGAAGGAATGAAAGTGAAAAGGATTTTCTTTCCCATCTGCTTCCTTTACTATTCAAATAGCAGTACCTGATCTCCTTTATCACAACATAGTATTTGTCTCGAGATTGGACGTGGATTTCAACATGAAGGCCACGGGAAAAGAGTTTTGACATTCATCTGTTGATGGATTCGATGCCGATGGGTGAATTTTGTTTTTCCATTTTCTTTCCTTATGTACTCATTGCATCGTTCCTGTCATCACTGATAGATCTAACAAATCCACAACTAGAGAATAGATAGATAGTTGCATATGTATATGATTAGACTTATCTCCCTCGTCTTCTAACAAATAAAAATCGAGAGCACAAGGGAAAGTGCATATGCTTTTGTATACACGAAATTAATCTAAACAAGGAATTGTCGACATTTATAGAAGAATACTATTTGACAAGTTGACACAATTAAATTTTCTTCTTTTTTTTTCTTTTTTCGTCTTCATCTTCTTTCTCCAGTTGTACTGATGATTAGAATGAGAGTCTTCACCCTTCTGCTCATTTCCGCACAGTCTTCCTACTTGACGTCATTTACAATTGCTCGAGAACTATGTGACTATATGTATGAATTGGCCTTTATATTCTTCCCATCAAAAAGAAAAAGGCAATAAAAAAGAAGAAGAAGAAGCATTCTATTCAATATACATAGTCAATGAATGAAAGAGAAAGAAACGCGATAGAGTTTTATCTTGTTAGAAAATATAGCATACAGGAAGTTGATTACAAACTCTCATTACCGTCTACGAAAAAGCTCTCTCCTATCGATTCTTCTTCTTCTCCACAGATCGAGGCCTATGTCATGTGCTTGAAAGAGAGAAACAAAAAAGACTTTATTCTGTACTTATCGCTTTCTAATCGATTACATATGTATAACAAGATGAGTAAACCTCGTCCTTATGCCCAAAGACGTGTGATACATACGCATGTCTGTATGCATAGATTTTGCTCAAATCAATTACAAAGAAGTATCTCTCGTCATGTACGCATTAAGCTGACGAGTAGTCAGATCTGTTTAAGATAGAACGAAGTTAGTTAAATGATGATGTCAGCGAGAAAAAAGAACATACTGTTCGCAATTCTCCGGAGATATTCAGTCAACATATTTGATCGATTTAATAAAAGCCAAAGAGAAACGATGAATGATATAAAAAAAAGTTTATTACGAACGGTCCACATCTCTAATAACCAAATGTAATTTCGTAAATATTAAGCGGATAATTGTATAGTACCATAAATCACCATGTGAATATTTAACAATTGATAAATAAGTAATTACTATTGTGAGAAAATTTTACCTAGTAATCGCGAGAGGAAAAGAAGAGATACATGTAATCATAGTCATCGAAGTGTGCCTTATAGATTTCTGTCTTTCTTTTTCTTTATGTTCTCTGAAAACAAAGACCAACAGACACAAGGCAAAAATCGGTCGCATTTCCTTCTTATTTGTGTCTCTATATGTGTTCTTTTTTTTCTTTTTCTACTTCTTTTGCTTCCCTGATGTTCTCCATTTTCATCATCATCATCATCATCATCTCCTTCTTCTCTACTCCATTCTACTTTACTCTACTAGATCTTTGCGTTTCTTCTGTCACCATCATCACCATCATCACTATTATCATTCATTCATTCGCTAGTGTGCATTCCTCTTTGCCTCAAGCTATCGAGCTACGAACAGAAATAATAAATAAAATAGTCTAACTCGTTTTTCTTCTTCCTCTCCTGCTGCCTCTCTTCGTTCTTTCTCTTCTTCGTATCTTGAGCATTTTATGTTTTTCTCTTCTTCTTTAGACTGAAGTTCGTTTTAGTAAATCAATTATAAAATTAAATTATTCCGATGAAAAGAAATTTGGAATATACTTAGAAAAGGAAAAACTTGAATGAGACTAACAATAATGTTCGACACGATCGATAATCATTTTCAAAGAATCGGCTTTCCTTACTGATCATATTAGATTTTCTAAAGCTTATTAGTAGAAAAAAATCAAACTATCATCGACGCGATGGTGAGGGACTATAAATCCTCTCTGTTCATTCACACAAAACGTCTCGCCTGTACAGAACATGTCATCATCTCTTCTTAACTGACAAGATGATAATCATCAGAAAGCGTAAACAACTGTATGTTATCGAAAGATAATCATGAAGAACATCAACATGTTTCCATTCCAGCCGGTGTAGCAATATTCGGATTAGGAAAAGAAAGAAGTTTAAATTTAGTAACAATAATAAAATAACAATTCATTTGCGAATATTTCCTTGACTAAATTGCAGCAAGAGAGAGAGAGAGAGAGAGAAGAAGAAAAGAAAATGTTGTGTTATAATCAAAATGCGACACTCGCTAGAGTTGCATGTACTGGTCCCGATCGCCTGCACTCTTTCCGTTCAAGACTACTTGACAAATGTATCATGATTCAATAACTGTTGTAATCGAAAATGTTCCTTTCATCATTCTTTCTTTTGTCCTTCATCACTACTTCTATCATTTCTATTCCAGTAACATCCATCTATCTATCTCTATATGCATCATCAAGCAGCTAACGGCCAACTATCAAACTCGATTTGTTGCATACGATGACAGCGCTGATTCGAGACATGCAACGAGTATATAAGTCGTGTGTTGATTATACGAGTCATCTAGGAATAAAACAAAATATATATCTATATCTATCTATATATATATATATAGATATAATATATAGCTAATTCAATTAAATTGAGACGCCTGAGTGAATGAAATAATTGAGCGAATACATTGGGAAACTATGGTTACTGGTGACGGTCGTAGAAGAATTATCTTTCATTACATTACTAATAGCCGTGTTTCAATTACATGGAGAAAGGAGAAGTGCATTATTTCTTGCAATTGGAAAAGAAAGTTATGAGAGTTTGCGACATCTTGTTCTGATACATAATTGAAGGCAATTGCTAATGACATTGTCGAAAATGAAAAATGGCATTGCAGAATTCGATATCATATTAACGTCAAAGTATTCCAATTGATTAATTATGACTACGACTAATGAAAGTAGTTCGTCCCAAATGGAACGCTTAACAACGTGTCCTGTTTGTTTGGATAAATTCCGTTCGCCGAAAGTCTTGCCGTGTATGCATACGTTTTGTTTAACGCCATGTTTGACAAATCTTGTCGATCCACGATCACGTCTATTGCGTTGTCCAGAATGCCGACGAGAGCATCCTGTTCCACCAGGTCTATAATTGTCTATATCGATCACTCTTGTTTACGTTACTATGTTGTGTTTTGTAGGTGGAGTACAAGGGTTCCCTGCTAATTTAACGATGATAGGATTCTTGGATTTACAGCCAAACACTACTAGTCAATCAGATCGTTGCTCGGTTTGTAGGGAGCAGAAACAAAGTACGCGAAAACAGAGGAAATGCTTGCAGAACACGAATTACTTTTATAGATCTTGCAAAATGCCACGATTGTTCCAAGCCAATCTGTTCTGAATGTCGCGAATCGCATTTACGTGAAACATCATATAATGTTAGTTCACTAGTTAGTCAACTTCGCCGGAGCTTACCAAAATTAAGTGATAAAATAGCTTCGTACGAGCAGCGTGTTAACAGTGTGCAAACGAATCATGAGCAGATTCAACGTGAGATTACAGCAGCAATTGCGATGTTAATCGAAGACTTGAAACATCGAGAAACAGCATTATTCACAGAGGCAGAAGTTTACATGCAATCACAGTTAAGGTATGGCAAACCAGAATGATGTGTATAATGTAAAGACTTGATGGTGTCTTATTTAGAATGTTTCGTCTACAACAGGAAACAGCAGAGATAGAATTGGCAAGTGTTGCAAGTTTCTGTGAATCACTAGAAACGTCCCTAGCTAGGTAAAATCTCATCACGGATCTGTCTTTTTTCTGGAAAGTATTTTTCTAGTGGGCAAACTTTGAGCGATGTAGATCTAGCCAATATGCGATCACAATGTAATCGATATTCAGAGCAAATTTATACATTGGAAACTCAAATGCCTACTGATGTTCAAAAGGTGAGCAGGTAAAGATTCATCGAGACGCATCTATCTATAATCATCTGTATCATAAAGTTACGATTTACATCTGGAAACCAAACTGCAATATCATCAACTATTCATGACTTCGGTCGTTTGATCGATATCAATGCTCAAACATCAACTAATCACCCACGACATACATCTACAGGACATCCAAACTCGGCACCGAATTATGCTACAACTATATCTAATCCAGCGCACATGCAAGACCAATCACCTCCTGATACATGTGAGTCTCTATGTACACGAAATATCTCTTTGTATCAACCTATTTTATTTTAGATCGGCATTTAGAAAATTTATATTATTCTCGCGGATCACCACCGATGCCCGTTCGAGCACTTCCACCCTCTCAAGCGTTTGTTTATCGTCCCATACACAATCACTTCTCCGGTAGTTTTGACAATCCATTTGTTGATCTGAACTTTACAGTACCAGTACGTCCATACGCTCATCCAACATCTTCGTCGTACATAGGATCGTGGCATCCACAAGCAAATCGTCGGGCTCTATCCATAATTGGAACTAATCCATTTCCCTCAAATAATGCTCGACCATCAGCACCGGCTACGTTTCAATCAACACCACGGCGAACTGGTCGGTCAATTGAAGGTGACGATCGACCTATTCTTGGCGGAGGAAGGGATAGAGCTCAAATGCCAGCGTCCGTTCCGGAACAAGAACTAACACCGCCAGTCAATCGGCAACGTCGTGGTACATTTGTACTCGACGAAGCGAGTTTACCTAATTTACCTCAGTCCGGTGTTCAAAGACCTCGTGATCCTATCAATGTTCAAGATTTGTACAATGTTAGACCACGCGATCGTGCTCAAACACCTGTCGCTTTCACTATAAATATCAATGAAGTGCCACAACCATCTGAAGATAATACTTCATAGAATTGTTTTTTCTTTCATATCATTTCTATCTGTATTTTATTCTGTTAATTATAATACATTATACAAAAAGGCAAAACCAACATCGTTAATTACGCTGTGTCATCAGAGCAAGTCGTTGTTGATAATCGACTAAATCTTGTGTTTTAATCTTGTTGATCTAGAAGAAATTTATTAAAGTAATGATCGAAGGAAGAAAAAAATGTTTACGTACGATGCTTTCGTATTCTTTAACTTTGTTATTCAATTCAATAAGACGTTTTCTCAATTTCACATGGGATTCGTTGTGTTGCAATAACTGCGTATCGGTTTGTTCTAAACGTTCATATGCATTTGATAATTTCAAACGTAATTCCTGATTTTCCACGGTCATTTCTTGAACAATCTCGTTCTTCTGCTCCAGCAGATTTTCGATTTCATTTGTTAATTGCCGCGAATGTAATCGTAGTTTATTCAATATTGTATTTTGACTACAAACGAGATCTTCGAGATATGATAAAGATTGATGACGTTCCAATTCAAGTTTTTCTATATTTGTATGGTAATCTTGTTCACGTTTATTCAAGATGACAGTTATAGCATCGATATTTTCTTCACGCGATCGTTCGAGAGTTTGTTTGACGCTTTTCAACATTAAATTCTATTTGTATAAGAATAAACATATCGAAAATCTAGTTGAAAAAGAACATACTTCACGAGTAAGACGATTGATCTCTTCGGTTAATTCCAGACAGTGTTTTTTCGAATTGAGTAACTCACTTTCAATATCATTGAGACGATTTTGATTTGAACCAAGTTGATGACGAAGTTGAAGCGCATCCTGTACAATAGATTGAATATTTCTTCAGTCGAAGACGATGTTGTTCTTTACCTGATTGCTTTGCAATAATAATTTCTCGAAATCCGTACGAATCTGCATTGTGTTCACATTGGCTTGGTCGCGTTCACGCATCGCTTTTTGAATTTGAAGTTTTACTGTATCCGACGTCTAATTGCAAATCAGAATATTTCGCCTATTGGAATATCGAAAATATCTACCTGACTAAGATCGATTTCTTGCCGTTGAATTCGATTTTTCCATTCGTCTAGATCAGCAGCTAGCGATGTTTTCTCTCTTGCTAACCGATCGATAGTTAATTCATATTGGGCGCACTTGTCTTCCACTTGATGGATCTGAAAAGCAAGCAAAATAAGACTCATTCATTGCATTTCTTTCACTATTCACTTTTTCAGCATTTTCCTTCAAACGTTCCTCACAGATTTTCTCAGCATTTTGTTTTTCTTGTTGAATTTTATCGGTCATTTCGTCGATTAGCTTCTTCAATCGTTTTTGCGTTTCAGCAAGTTCAATTCTCAATTGATCACGTTCAACAATCGCCTGAAGAGAAAACGCTTTTCAGTCATGTATGTCATATGATGAAAATGACTTGCCTCGTTCTTTTCGAATTGATTTTGTTCAACAATTTGAATGCAATCTTGTAATTTTGCTAATGTACTTCCTTCTTTACTTTGACTTTCATCAAGTTTCACTTGTAATTGTTGTAATTTCCTTTTATTACTTTCATTTTCGCTAAAATCAAGTCAGCGACGAATAGAAATCTTTGTTCCGAATTAACTCACGTAATGATATCGGCAACTCTTTCATTATGTTCGGAATTATGTTGACCGAATGGCAGAAGTGCACCACATTTGAGACAGTTCATGAGATCATTCGGAGCTTGCCACACACTTTCATATGAACTCAATTTCTCTCTAGAACAACTTGATGAGATGAGTTTTCATTGATTCTATTCTCTTACTTAGCGTCTTTCAATTCAATTTCCAGATGACGCATTTTTTTCGTGTAAAGATCAGCAATTTGTGACTTGAACATGGAAAAAGAAATGGGAAATCTTTCGATGAAATAGAACTCACTTCTTTATCAGTCATGGATTGTCCATCGTCGATATTAATCAATCGAAGCATGTCAGACACGAATGTACTACGAATCTCTTCATGTAATCGATTGTTTTCTTCGATTAACGCAACTACATTAGATCGAAGTTTTGTATTATCTTCCTATTGGAAATAAAATATTAAAAAAAAGAACAACTTTACAATTGTTATTTTGACAGTTACATACAAGACAACGTATACGCTTCATTCCCCTAAACTTACACGTAATGATTCATTCTCATCTCGCAAACGATGGCTTATCTCATCAGCTGCTTGAACAAGTAGATAGAGTTCATTTGATTTTGGCGTATCGGTTGATGCCTACGAGGAAGGACAAAAGAGATAATCAGAGCGATAAGGAAGTGTTAACGATTTGTTCATACTTTTAATGAACTTGATGGACGAGTCGGTGTTGGAGGCGATTGATGATGGTCTAATTGGGATAGAAGATCACGCAGTTTATCAGCTGCTGTGAGTGATTTGTCTAGAACGGTTTGAGATATATGATGAGGTAAAGTACGCTTCTCGTCGATACGCACTTGAATTACTTGACGTCATGGGGATCGAAAGAGCTTGAGATTAACAAACAATTTTCATGATTTTGCTTCTCTGATTCAAGACCACAATACGTTTTAGAAAATTTCTATTGAATAAGCATAACCGCAAAAGAACTGGTTTTGAATTCCACCATACTTTTCGTTCTAACCGTTGTCTTGGCGATCATATGAACAAACGAGATATGCCACTGTATCTTTTGCGCCATGATATTATTCCTTCAATTTGAAAACTTGCTTTTTCAAGACGGTTTCTCAATAGAAGTTTTCTCTAATATAAATAGAAAACAAAGATGTCGCTACTATGCATACCCCAGTTCCAATTTCACTTTTTTTCTCCTCGGAAAATTTTATTACATATTCTTAAGCAAGCATCTCATAATTTGTACCCTAGAGTGAATTATGCTAAAGAAATGTATTTATTCGCATGATGAATAAATCGAAAATATATACTCGTTTATACCCTTTATCTGGATGAGAGAAGAACAAGACTTTTCTATGTCCTTCATTAGACGTCGACTCCGTGGCGCAACGGTAGCGCGTCTGACTCCAGATCAGAAGGTTGCGTGTTCAAGTCACGTCGGGGTCAAACCTTCCTTTTTTTTTCTCTTCCTAATCTTCCAATATGTCTCACTAATCTCAATCGAAAAAGAACAATGTGTCTAAATTAGATCGAAGACTCCGTGGCGCAACGGTAGCGCGTCTGACTCCAGATCAGAAGGTTGCGTGTTCAAGTCACGTCGGGGTCAAACCTTCCTTTTTTTTCTCATTTTACAAAACCAAGATGTATGAAAAAGTCGACGTGCTTTTTTCCTTCAATATTTATTCAGAGAATTATTATAAATAAGGCAAAGAAGGACAGAGAGCAGATCAATTACTATAATTTCAATTGAACATAAATTCTATCACTTGTGCGTGTTATTCTATATTCATGCGCGAGTAGTTGCTCTTGATTAACGATTTCTCGTAATTCTTTGATCATTTTGTCATTTGTCAGTGGTAACCATAAAGAAAGATATGAGAATTTTGCAAGATTTTTCGATAAGATACATTGTAAAACCGAAGAAATATTGAAAATATTCTTGCATTTCACTTGCAAGAACTCCATAGAAGGACATAAATTGATAAAAAATTGGATTTTTTCTAGATCATTCTCTTCCATGAAACTTTGTATTTCAACTGACGCAATTTGATTGTTGTCCAATTGCGACTGAACGTATTCGATGTTTTTCAATTTGAAATACGATAACGACGTGATTGTCAACGATTTTAGATTAGGTAACATCTGTAGAAGTTGAATGAACTTTGGGTAGAATAACTTCTGACAATCAATATGTAAATGTGTAATCGAAAATTTACAAATAAAAGAGAAGATTTTATCGACCAGATTCTCTCGAGAAGCAGCGAAATACAGATGATCGATTGTTAGATTTATACCTGTCGGATCGCTGTACACTGAACGGTTTCTAAAACAAAAGAAAATAGGTTGTTCAGTTTGAGGGAGGATTCTGTTGCTGATGTTACTTGTCGCGATCAATCGAATAGGATATCTTGATGGGTGGCCAATAATCGATATCAACGATGATACAAAAGAGCCAGCCCTGAATGAGCCAGAATGGAGTTGTGAATTGATTGAGTAGATCATGATACGATGCTAATTCGATCTTTTGGTAAAAGTATTCATCGTACGTAAATTTCAATATACGTAACGATGACAAATACTGAGAAATTAAGCGTTCCCATCGATTGGCATCCAAATAACTAATATCATGAGATGTCGTCATACATAAATATCGAAGTTGTTTACAAACATGTTGAATAAATATTTCAAATTGATTAAAATCGACATTACACGTATGAATCGTCATACTTCGTAGATTCATTAACTTCAATGGCATTATCTGCGGAATAACTTGATCGTGTTCACACAATTCCATGCAGGTTAAATGTCGAAGCGATGGCACATAGGAAAGTAAGATAATTAATTCTTCGAGTTTGCATGGATGATTCATAACTAAATGTTTAATTGTACTGTACCGTTCGGATTGATTCATTAGCAATGTCATTGTTAACGAATATCCTTTCGCCGATAGTTCCAGTTTTGTCAAACAAGGTAGAAGAAACAATGACTGATAGATTTCAGTGAGATTTACAATCTCGTTGGAAAAATGAACGTTTATCGAAGAAAGACGAGGTAAATAAGTTAAAATTGGAAGAATTGAGACGAACTGATGATGAGGAACCTGATTGCAAATGAGCGAGTGTAGACGAGTGAATGAGGAATCAATAGGAAGTGATGATGACCCGTGGAGATCAAGAGATGCGATGCGATGCTTATTCGGCATGATGAATCGTGTGCGATATTTCTGAATTTCACATTCAGATTGTGCGCTGAGATTCATTCGTAATGAGAGAAATGGATAGTCGAGAAGCATCTTAAACCGAGCGTTTAGATTGGAAAACGCTTGATATAAGTAATTACACTCGATGTATTCGAATATTTCATAAAATATTTCATTGGATAGATCTTCAATACGTGTGTATGACATTTTCAATATAGGCAACAATCGACGGTCGATTTCACTAGGTTGACATACGTGAGTGTGCGTATGTGTGTTTCATCCTTCATTCATTTGTTAATAATCTAGAAAGGTTCGAAAAGTTATTTCTTATAGATAGACCACCGGGCGGAAAGAACTACTTACATACACTGTCGATGAGTTATGTCATTCGCGATAGAATAACTACTACTGTGTTCTCTTCCTCCTCGCAGACTTTTGCCTTTAGTTTGTTTCTCATTCTGATGACCGTTATTTGCACTCTTATCCTTCTGTTACAAACTCACGTTCTATATACAATGATAGACAGAAATAGAATTGTGAACTGCATCTATATCTATATGATAAACGTCTCTAGATGAACAACTGTTCCTACATATGTTGATTATGTTTTAGCCATTACACTAGTTTGTTTGTTTCGTATGGGCGTTGTCTAGCTATACGATAAGCACACAGAAATAAAAGAACGAACAATAACTGTCAGGTGTTCAGACTTCTTACTCAATTCTGTCCTTTTGGCGAGAGTTGTTTCAGACAATAGCTTCTTCGAAATTATTATTGAGGACTCGAATAAACATTGGACATACTAAGTAAGACAGGAGCCTACGGCACAATTTTTTGAGTAGATCAAAAATCAACGCAGTAATGTACATATGTGAACGTACGAAGAACAACATAGTATGCAGTATTTGAACCTGAACTTTTGTCGATACTTGTTCTATGATATTAAAGAGAAATCCTTCAAAAAAAGAAGTGGAAAACGTCTAAGTATTATTATAAACACTTAAATTGCTTTATTGAAAGAAAAACGGAGATTAAATAAATAAAAGCATTGAAATTATCGATGAAGATGCTGGAAACGGACTGGAATGAGAAAGCAAATTCGAATAAAACAGTGGTTCACTATTAATCAGTGCCTAAAAGTAAATGAAAACACAAGTACATAATCATGTATATTGTCAATTCAATTTTTACCGAAATATTTTTGTCCGAAATGATTAGGCGCGACGTCATTGATTTCAGAAACGACGATTGTGACTTCAGGATATGCCTCACAAATTTTTCTAATTCCATCAGGTGTACAGAATAGGCAAAGAACAATAATACTTGACAGTTGACATTGATATTCAGTTACCAACAGTTTCAAACCAGTCAGAACGATTGAACCTGATGTTATCACAGGATAGGTCACGAGAATACGTCGTTCATGTGCATCGGGAGGCAATTTTGCATATATGACAAGGCCTTCGTTGATTAGAATCTTTCCGATGCGAATAGATCTGAAAGTTGTCATAACTTACAGAACAATCCAAAAGAAAAATGGATTTCACATACCGACAACATTCGCGAATGCCCTTCTCCATTGCTTCTCCACTTCGCATTAGCGATACGCATAAGATTCCTCTTTCATGACGTAAGCCTTGAAAGCTTTGACCAGTGGGCGTTTGTATTTCACATGGAACGTAAGAGAGGTGATTCAATGCTACTTCAACAGTTAAACGTATTAAGCGGTCGGCATAGAATTTGAAATCACTTCGACAAGTTGTTCGGTCGCGTAATAGTGTTTGTAGTTCTCGTAGTTGGTTATGCGGTTTCATAATATGAACATTCGATGGATATTGTTTATTAATGTCTTCTTCAACGATGACATTTTCGATATCGTTACTTATCACAGACATCTAAAATAGGATAAAACAAGCAAACTAACTCTTTTCTTATCAAATTAATATAGGGCACGTCTACGTCTATAAGCTTCATTTGCAATTGGGTAGAATCATCAGGCATTTTTCTCGTTTTAGCACGTATATACTAACTGATAATCAAACAGATAGTTATCATCGACATGTATATGAAAACACGCGTGTTATCGATAGCTAATAATCATTTTACCTATAGGCTTATGATTGTTTGAAATTCAGTAGCAAGTCACACCTATAAATGATAAAAGAAAACACAAGTATTAACCTGATCGTATTACAAATACTTCTCTACATGTATTTCATCAGTGCATGACGTCATGATAGTGAAATCGATGGAATACTACTAATTATTTCATTATTTCTCGTTCCAATAAAAAGATTTCATGTCTTTCTATCAATTCAATGACATCCACTAACAGATTAATTTTGCTTTTTTAATTTAGTTTAGTAATTAAATCTAGTTCAACATATCAAAGGAACAAATCGTTTTCCAACATTTCTTCTCATATTTGAAGAAAACAGGTTCCAATCAGTTGTGTTCAATTTGAACTATCATATGAATACAAAAACGAGCTTATACTAATGACTAATGTGACTAAAACAAGCTCAGTGTGAGTCATAGCAGTATTCGCTATTAGCGCTATCTATCATGTCACTTTTGGTTAAATTGTTTGATAATAATTTCAAAAGAATATAATATGAAAATATTTTGAAGATTTTGTTTTTGTAATTTCACGCTGTTCAAGTTGAACATTCACTATTGGTGCATGAGATCCAACAACAAAAACGCAGAAGTACAGTAATGTTCCTTTACTGACTTCTATTGATTAAATTGTTGAAATTTTAGATTTAATAGTTATGGCGAATACCTCGGGAGATTCACCGTTGATCAATCCAGATAAACCATTGAAATTGGATGAGCAAGCAACATCCGTACCTGCATTTCCGAACACTCGATGGATGAATGTCACCACAGATTTCTCGCGTAATCCTGGTATACTCGATGACGTATTCAAAAAAATAAAAGGTACGACCTTCTTTTTCGATTGAATCGAAATCTATCTGGAAAGAACTGAATATTTAGATTTGATGCCGCCGACATTCGAAGGCGCGAAGTTGTCTGTCACCAAAATGCTTAGTAGCCATTTTCAAGTTAGTCATTCAATGACACTAAGTAGCGGATCCAACTGTGGTTATAAATTTGGTGCTAACTATGTTGGTACACAGCTCTACTCACAATCTGAGGTAGAGACGAGATATTCGCCAATTGTTCGTCTGATGATCTTAACATATCTGCTTTTCATAGATATTCCCGGTGATCTTAGGTGATGCAGATCCAAATGGTAATGCCAATGCTCAAATCATACATCAATGGAATGATAAACTACGAACACGTATATTAGCCCAAGTATGATCTGTAATTTTGAGTGTAATTGTACCTAAGGTTTGGCTTTAGGTGCAATCATTTAAAATGGCCGGCTACCAGGTGTCCATGGACTATCGAACACCGTATACGAGCACAACGTTAACCTTAGCGAATATTGACTTGATTACTAATTCTGGTAATGACGATAACAAAGAATGAACAGAATATTCGATTCATGTGCATCTATTCTAGGAATTGCTATTTTACAACATTTGACACGCGTAACAAAAAACCTAGATATCGGTGCTGAAATTGTGTACCAAGCCAATCCGATGATGCCCGGAGGACATATTGGTATAAATAGTTTCGTTGCCAGATACCGAGGTAAAGACAACTGAGGAAAAACTTGTTTCGCTACTTATATCATTCGTAGGTCTTGATTGGTTTACTGGTGCGAAAATAAGTCCGATCGGTGCATTAAATATTGGGTATTTCCATCAGAAAACCAATAGTCCACTCCAACTAGGAGTAGAACTAGAGGCGTCACTCGCCTCAAAAGAGACTTCAGCAACATTCTCATATCAATATGATTTAGGAAAGGCAAATACGACCTTTCGAGGTAAATTCGATCACTAAATCAGAGTAAGATTTCACAGTCAATTGCATTTCAGGTATGGTTGATACCAATGGTCTTGTAACTGCTGTTATTGAAAAACGTCTAGCACCATTGCCGTTTACATTCATGCTCAGCAGTTCGTTGAACCATGCAAAAGCTGCCTACCGTTTTGGCATTGGTTTACTTATTGGCTAATAGCAACATTCTTCATTTCTTTGATCGATCGAGCTTTAATTTTAGTATCGTTTTTCTTTTCATTGTTCCTGTGTATCGAAAAAAGACAACAGTTTCAATTATACCGGAGAGATTTTTTTGTATTAGTCCACCTGTGACTGTTGATTTTTGTTTGAATGAAACAGCAAATACTTAGGCGATTTTTTGTTTGTTCACTCTTTGTTAGATGTTTTTTGATTATGTTTCAGATTACTTGATTATCATGGCTGATGCTGGTTTCTTCAAAGTAGGCTTATTCGATACATCTCCCAAATGAAATATTCACTTCTACTTTGACTTCTAGGGCACATCAGCCGAACAAGATAGTCGATTCGCTAATAAGCAAAAGAAATTACTCAAACAGATGAAATTTCCAGATAATATTGATGTTAAAGTAAGATTTCGTTTGGATATTTATATTCAAAAGGAATCCATGGTTTATATTGCATAGATTGATAGTTCCAAAATAAACCTTGATGTGATCAAACCATGGATTGCGAAGCGTCTACATGAATTATTAGGAATCGAAGATGACGTTGTTATTGAATATGTGTTTAATCAATTAGAAGATAAAGTTTGTTAAAGTTTTCGTACATTTACAGACACGATTGGTAATCTTTTAGAATCCTGATCCAAAGATGATGCAAATCAATTTGACTGGTTTTCTTGGTGGAAGCAAAGCTCGGTTATTTATTGGTGAACTTTGGAAATTCTTAGCGAGTGCCCAAGTATCACCCGATGGTATACCAGCAGAATTAGTCGAAATGAAAAAGCAAGAACTGCTGAGACGACAAGTAACTTTGAAACATTCGTTTCGAGTTCATTGTTCTATGGAAGGATTTGTATTTAGGAAGACGATCGACTGCGTGAAATTCGCAAACGTGAAGAAGATAGCTATCGTCAAGACGTGAAACTTGACATCCATAAATCAGATACTAGAACCAATTCTCGTCCTTCAATGACATCGCGAAGTGAAAACGGAAACAATACTGTTGGATATAAATCGCGGACACATCATGAAGATGAAAGACGACGTCCATCGCCTAAATTACATCGAACACGAGATCCACATAGTCCGGACACGAAGTCGCGGTTGGTGAAATGGCCTGTTTTTCTTTGCCAATCAATGATTCTTCTGTCGTTTAGACATTCCGATAAAAAGCCTACCAGTGAGAGCAAGAGCGATCATCATCATCATCGACATGACACGACAAATGATAGTCATAAAAGATCGAAATCACGCTCGCGCAGTTGCAGTCCTGTGAAATCTATGCGTAAAACAGACGCGCATGCCAAAAGATCTTCGTCGGAAACGAGCAAGACGTCACATCACGAAATTGATAAGCCTCAAAAGGTGAAATCTAAGCCAAGGCGTCGTTCATCTTCGACGAACTCGAGCAATAGTCCACAGCGTGGAAAAACTATTCAATCTGTGCAGCAAAAGCCAACTAATAATACGTCCGATGTTCCTACTGAAACAAAAGAAGGAAAACTTAACGAAGAAGTTAGCAAATCGTCAGCGTCGAAAAACAAGCGAAAATCTTATACACCTTCTCCTCCACGATCAAATAAAAAAGAACCCGTAGTGAAATCTATGGGAAATGTTGAAAAAGTCAAGCCGAAACGATCGTCATCGAAAGAGATCAAAAAGACGAAAAAAAGATCAAAACGACATCGATCTGCATCGAGTGATTCTTCGTCCAGTTCGCGCTCGTCTAGTTATAGTTCTTCATCTTCAAAATCCAAATCATTGGCATCGTCCGACTCAGAAGCAGAAAGAAGAAAAAAAACGAAGAAGAGTATGTTTGATCAACAGATTTCTCATCGAGTACAAACCGTCATTTCTTTGTTTATACTTGTAGAACCGCAATTGGCAAGAAAAGATTCGTCCAGTCGATCACGATCACGTTCAACAGACCGTCATCGACGATCTAAGAAAAAGAAAGATGTTCACAAACATAAAAAGCATAGTAGTCATAACAGGTAAACTTATTTGTAAATCCATTTCTGTCTTTTATCAATTTGTTCACACAGTAAATCTTCTTCGTCGAGAAAACAAACTAAACAGCACGAAAGTAATGAGTCTAAACGAAAGTCTCATCGTGGTAAGTCCGTCTATAACCTATCTAGTACCAATGGAACTAAAAGTTTGAGATACGCAAGGAGTTGTCCAATGAGTGTTGGACTCTGAGTGCTATTGTATACTTTGTTTCTAGTTTTGAGAATTCTTGCAAATGGGAACCCGTCAATTTAGATCGTCCAGACAGATCATCGAAAAGAATGGCAGATAAAGATACATACAATGAAAAGAAAATTCGCCGTTCACAAGAATCATTATCAGATAAGGAGATTCCACGCCTGACCACGCCGCCGAAGAAACCTCGACTTGAATCTCAAATTAGAGTACAAACTCCACCGCCATCAACTAAATTAGCTGTCGAAAACGTTAGTCGAATGTTTTAGTAGCATAAAGTTGATTTACTTCTATTTATTTATATAGAAATCAGAAAACGAAGTCATACGACCTTCGGCAACATCTACTAGATCGAATCGAACTGGAAGAATTGTAAACGAATTCCCGATTTCTGTAATTCCATGCATTTTTCTCCTTTTTTTTCTCTTAGGTTGTACTAGAAGATTCTCGTAAAGATGGTGCTGATTCTTTTGCATTGCGTGTACCTGTCACAGCTAAGTCATCGGACGATGATACACGATTGAAAACTAGTGATAATAACCACAATAGTAGTGAAGATGAAACCGAAATTGATTTACGCGAACGTCTTT